AAAAAAAACATCCTCCTCTTTTGTCCATCCATGTGGCCCATTCTTACTATGGGAACAGTTGTGTGGAGAGGGAAAGATTATATGCAGCCTATGAAAAGAGAAGAGAAAAGACACGTTTGTCAGCAGTCTTGAAGAAACTACTTTGAGATTTCTCAAGCTACTCATTATTTAAACTAGTTAAACTACTAAGTAGCTACACTAGAAGATACTAAAAACTAGCTAGCTACACTGAAGCCATTTACTGTAAAGACACATTTACCGCTGTTCTGTAAATTTTCACATGCAAAATTAATTCATTTAAATTCTTAACACAATTGTTGTAATGGGTTCAAGTCAGTTGTGTGGATTTGCTGAGTTGACCAATGGAAAGCTGCTGAGTATGAATGTGACTTCTTTCAGTGACTTCTTCATATATTGGTACAACTATTGAAAACAGAAGATGTAACTTTTGGCCCTCACAATTTTGCCAAAATATCGCTAATATGACCACACTTTAAGAGGACATTTTGTAATGTCTAATAAAAATATTTTGTAATTGGCAGTATATTTATGGTACACAATTAAGGACCTTAACATTAAAAAGGAATTGGACAGAAATTTTTTTGTTGTTGTTTTTTTTACATAAAATACACAAATTCTACATAAAAAACCATACAAAATACAACAGATAACTCTATAAATTACTATAATTTAGTTAAAAGTGACAAAAATAAATTGTGAAAAAATGATATGGAACAAAAATAACGTGTCATGATGGGACGCAAAGGGAATCTAATTTCAGCTGGTTCATTTAATGATTTTATTGGTAAAATTCAGATTTGACCAACTTGCTAAAATGAATCGTATAAACACTAACAATTGGTTCAGCCACATGACAACCCAAAACACAAACAACACGAACATCAAACTCAGAACATCTTTTGAAGACCAATCGCACAAGCAGAGGCACAGTGCTACTTAAAAGGGCTGTCGACACCAATAGCCTATAGTGGGCAGTGCACCTGTAACACAGTGCGCTACTGTGTTACGGGCGTCCCGAGTTCGAATCCCGGCTTGAGGACCTTTCCTGATCCCAAACCCTCTCTCTCTCCCACTTCGCTTCCTGTCTGCTCTACACTGTCCTATCCTAATAAAAACAGCAAAAAAGAACGAAAAAAGGAGAATGACCATCAATTCTGCATCATTAAGCCCCTAAATGTTGAAAATTCATAGCTGAAAACATTCTGCCATGTATTCTGCACAGATACATAAAAAAAAATCATATTACTGGAAAAGCTATTTTAAAAACAGCTGAGGTACTGGTAGGATACTGAAAGATGTAGTTAATAGCAATGCTACTTTTAGTACTTAGTAGTAGTTACTGCCCAACACTGCTTGTCAGATGGGAAAGGAAGACATAAAAAAAAAACAGATGGACATGGTGAAAAAGGGAAAAATTGTGAAAATTGAGAAAGAAAGATGCTCAACACAACAGTATCAGACTAACATCGTAACAACAGAATGCAATAGCAAGGTACATTTTTAACTCTTACGTAATTTAGAAAAGCAATCACAAAAAATACTCAAATAGCAGAAAAGCACATGACAAAGGAATGTTTCAGGTTCAAATCAGCAGAACAGATTTAAATACATGGAATACAGGGGGAAACAAATTACAAATCCCGCCCAAGTTCATAGTCTGCGGCTAAGATTAGGTGCTCTTTAAAAAAAATACTGGAAGAGAGTATAACAGCTGAAATAAATTAATTAAAATTCAATACTTCTCTATCCTTATCCCCTTGCCTCAGAAGTTTGTTTTCCATTTTGTCTGAGGGCAAAACTAGGGCGATAAAGTCAATTTTAGAAGTACAATTTTTCTAGTTTTAATTCCCCCACTCAACATTCAAACAAACTATATGCTGAAAAGGCAGTTTGTGTATAATAGCAGAAATATACAGCAAATGATGCCTCTAAATCATTCCAAAGCAACTATGTGAGGATATATTGCTCTTTTCCTTTTCCCTGAGGTCTTTGTCCTCATTCGGCTTATTACACCGCAAGATTTCAACTTTGTTCTCCAATGACCTTTTCATCCCCGACACCAAGCTAGTTTGTACAGTAGTCTAATGCAGAATGTGCAGATGCAGAATGCTAAGGTCACGCTATGACTTTGAAATCTTGAAAAGTTCTTCTAGAAAAAAAAGAAAAGTAAATTCAACCAGACTGTAACCAGCGCATAATTCACAAAGTTAGTATAATGTTTCACAAAAACAAATTATTAGCTCTGTTCCAAAACCTAGTGGACTTCCTATGAAGACACACTTCTGATGTGAAGGTATATATTTCTGAGGCAAACTGGGTCCTGATCATGACCTGAAACATGTTTATTAGCAGTATTTTTATGTTTATTAGTGTATTGTGTCATTCCTCTTATGTTACCTGTATTGAAGTCAAATCTTTATGTAGGCTGGTCACTAAGAACAGATCTCTCTTGTTGAAGACTCACCTTTGACTAGAGCGGTCGCTATACTGCTGTGCACACTGTGCTGACTGTGAACTCGGTCTCACTGGCCATGATATCAGTGGGCTGGATGTTACGGTCATACATAGGGTTCTCAAAAGTGGCTCTTCCGTTGGTGTTCTCATGGCCTGCGTAACCATTGAAGGGTACTTTGGGCCTTTTTCTGCAAGTAAACAAGACATATTACCAAATATTCTGGAAGAGTGATTCATAATAAATCACAAAAATCAATGCACAATGAGTGCTGTACCTGTGTTTGTAGAGATACAGTGCGAAGCCTGCTATGATCATGGCAATAAAAGGCACTAAAATGGCTGCTGCCACTGAACTGCTATTGGAGGCAAAGTTATAGCCTGGATTCTCGCCATTTGGATCAAGGCCCTCTGTAAAAGAACATACAAATAAAGCATTTACAAAATATTGCTTTTACCTTTTCAAACAATACAGGAATAAACAATTGATTTCTGTATAGAGTTATTATTAACAATAACTAACCACAAGTGAAAAGCTTTTTGTCAAAGCATGTGTTCGAATTGATTCGAAACCATGCAACAAATAAGAAATTAATCAATTAAATGGGCAAACTTCACATTTCACTGTTTTGTATAACTCAACTGGGAGACTTGTTTTTGGGAGATGTCAAACTGCATTATCTTGACAATGCTTTTTAATTACAGATATCAAGACACGGCAAATTCGTGACACTTTTCAATTTCGACCACAGAGCTTTCCTAAACAACGAGAGAGTGTCAGTGCACCTGCTCATCAGACAATGCCAAAAAGCTTCCCAATAACATCAAGGCTGCAAGTGGGAGATTCAATTAACTAACTCAATAGAGCCAGCTCATCAAACCAACATGAAATGATGGAATATGGGTGTGTGCGCACACACACACACACGCTCTTTCCACTACAGCTCCTCTTATTAATAAATCTTCTGTTTGCTCAATCTGTCTGACAATGTTGGGATAGGAGTCTATACAGCTGTCGTTTATAGATGAAGGCGCGCATGTTTCATTATGGCAGGATTTGACAGACCGTTCCAGGTTTGGCCTCCACAAGCTGTACACCAGATACTTACACCAACCCTAGTTTTCCTTTCTCTCCTACTAAATTGTATTATAATAATACATGATAGCTCTTGTGGGTGGCATTGGCAGTATATATCATTTTAAACATATACTTGATAACTGATATCTGAGGAAACGATACAGACTTGACATTTTCACCACGACATTAAAGCTGAAGTGTGTACTTTATCCAATGTTAAAATACCTTGCCAGCTTAAAATGCTGAAACATCTATATGCAAATTATTCATGGACTGATTTGTTTGAGCATCCCATCCAGCCTGACACAGATAAACCCATGTAATATGTTATAATGAATCAATCGGAATCAAGCATTAAAGAGAACAGTGTAATAAAATGCATTATTTTCATTTATATCATCATATAAATCAATCACTTGCATAGGGTATAAGTTGAGATAGTGCTATGCTAAGCTAGTAAACTGAACATCGGTTTGGGGTCCCAGGTGGTCTCAATTCAACAGAAGGACGTGATGAACATGATATGATTTAATGCTGCTATTATTTCTGTCAATATGTTGTTCCAAACCATAATACACTTCTGTTTGTCTTTGAAGCACAAATGAAGCTTTAGATATTTCTGTATGGAGCCATATCGGCCTCAAAAATAATACATTTATAAAACAAAATTCTTAAATTCACAGAACAATTTACATTTACAAAATCCAATTTGTAAATTCAAAACACAATTCATAAATACAGAAGTAAAAGCATAAATATTTCCCCAAGTGCTCACAAAAAAGCATCTTACCTAAATACATTTAAAATGTTTACACAAATATGTATATATCAAGTTCTTGAATTCATTTTCATCACACATTTATGAATGATGTTACATGTATTTATGGATCATTGAATCTGCATTTGCAAATCATCACACATGCGTGGACTGCTTTGAATTTGTGTGTGGTATTCTTGAGACCTTCCTGTCAGGTTAAGATTCATAAAAATCTTTTTTTGGAGGATGTTCCGTTCAGCCAATCGCGGTGAGCTTTTAATCCACCAATCAAAATGCTCTTTACTGAACAGACTCAAGAAGCTCAACGCTGCGCTTGTACTGTGCATTGTTTCTATGATCGGGTCCTTGATGTAAAGACATTTTAATGGGTACTCTTTTTTTTTCAAAATACAGCTACCCGGTTAGCCTGCTGTCTTATACACCAAAGTTGCTCAATCTGTAATGTTATCAAATAGGTGTTAAATGTCCAGATATTTCATTTAATAACAACAATTATGTAATATGTTCTGTTGTTATTAGTAGTAGTAGTAGTAGTAGGCTATCACATTCGCAATAACTTTTGGACTAATAATTTTGTAACACCACACACTTAATTAACTAAAACAACCTGTAATCATAAGAAAATGCCATCAGATAAAAAAACGACTTTACTCACTCGTTGAGTGTCGTCACAGATTGCGACATGCCGTGTTTCTGGTGAGGTGTCTTTGAATGATGCGCCGCACGTTCCTTCACGAGTTCACGGAGTGGATCGGGAAAATTATCTGGATAATATTTTCAGCGATTAACAACATAAATTCTGCTCTGGATCACACAAACCTACTGTATTCCACCAGAGAGGACTCGTGCAACGCATCGTCATTTGGATTACTTTTAGTACTGCTTTTGACATTTTTGCAATAAATAAATAATTGTAATTGCATTTATCTGTTTGTCATGTTTTTCTTATAGTGTACAGAAATGTTTAGGCTTATAGGTAGGAGTGGAATTAGTGACTATAAATATATTTTAATGCTATATTGTTACTAAAATTTTTATTTTCCTGCGTATTTCGGTAATTTGCGTTTTATATCCTATATCGCTATCAAATGGGTCGGTTAAGGTTTGGGGGTAGGTTATGGGGTCTAAAAATCTAAATTGCGTATTAATAAAATGATAAAAATGCATATTCGCTATAAAATGGGTAGGTTTAGGTTTGGGGGCAGGTTAAGGTTTCTAAAAATCTAAATCGCTTATTGATAAAAATGCTAAAAATGCATTGATACAAATATCTTAATGACATAAAAGATATGTAAATATTTTTAATTTTTTTTAGCTAGAAGTACGTAGCGATTTGTACATTTTAAACGTTGAAATACGTCTAAATTGTATGTTTTAGCATTAATAAAAACGTACAAAAGTGTACGTTTTGTGCTTGTAAATGTTACGTATTAATACCTACGTATAAACATGAGACCAGGCTGGATAAACAGGGTATGTGCAACTTTGGTGTATAAGACAGCAGGCTAACCGGGTAGCTGTATTTTGTGCGAAGCATATAAATCATAATGTGATTTTGTAGAAAATGTAATCAGGTGCTAAAAAAAAAGAGTACCTATTAAAATGTCTTTACATCAAGGACCCGATCATAGAAACAATGCACAGTACAAGCGCAGCGTTGAGCTTCTTGAGTCTGTTCAGTAAAGAGCGTTTTGATTGGTGGATTAAAAGCTCACCGCGATTGGCTGAACGGAACATCCTCCAAAAAAATATATTTATGAATCTAAACCTGCCAGGAAGGTCTCAAAAATAGCGCACACAAATTCAAAGCAGTCCACGCATGTGTGATGATTTGCAAATGCAGATTCAATGATCCATAAATACATGTAACATCATTCATAAATGTGTGATAAATTAATTCAAGAACTAGATATATACATATTTGTGTAAACATTTTACATTTATTTAGGTAAGATGCTTTTGTGTGAGCATTTGGGGAAATATTTATGCTTTTACTTCTGTATTTATGAATTGTGTTTTGAATTTACGAATCGGATTTTGTAAATGTAAATTGTGCTGTGAATTTATGAATTTTGTTTTATAAATGTATAATTTTTTAGGCCAATCTGGCTCCATATTTCTGTCCCTCCATTTGAAAGCTTATTTGTGTTTAGAAGACGAACAAAAGTCTCACGGGTTTGGAACGACATGGAGTCATTTTTAATTGTATCCCATTAACAAGTAAGATTTTACAGTCCTATAAGACAAGCACACATACCCAGCCTCTGAAGTCCAAACTGGCCGAAGCCTTTTCCTCGAACAAAGCCTTGGTATACAAATGAATCAGAAGAAGGCATGTATGACACCTGTGGAGAAAAGTACAAATCCGTAAGTAAAAATAATTTTCAAAATGTCACAAATGAGCCACTGAAAGGTAAAATGTGTCAGTGATGTGAAAGACTACTTATGTTTGACATTTACTTTCCCCATCATTCCTCACTGAGGCATAAAAAGTGTACACATCCACATACAAACACATAAAAGTTGCTTTCTCCCTCCTGCTTTACCTCTTGTGCTTTCTCTATCTCTCTCTCTTACATGAACACACACACACATACAAGAGCCACACACTCATGGCCCACACTTTTAATTACACTCTCCCAGGTGCTTGTCCCAAGTGCATTGGAGGGGGGTAGAGACGTCTGGCCCTGATTACCCAGCAATGATTTAACTGACGTTTTAATTAAAAGAAAAACTTTGTCGGTTCTCTTCTATCCCCAGGAGTGAAAAGCTGTGTGTGTGGTTGAGGGTTTCAGTAGTTACAAGCAGCCCAAGGTCTGGCCCTATACAAGAGCCCTTACATCAGCCTGTGAGTATTGAAGTACACTTTGAGCACTCTCAGGTTGCAGTAAAGGTTCAGAAATGTCCACCTTTCAAAGCAAGAGCACGACTTCCAGAGGACAACATCTGCATGGAGCCATACCATGGAAGGAGAAAGGACTTGCATCAACATAAAAGCATGGCTGTTGAAATCAAATGTAAGATGCTTCTTTTTCCCAGTAACCAGTCCACTTATGTATAAGCTGATCGGAAGGCTGGGTCAAGTTAAATCGTGGTTCAAATATTTGATCTGCGGTTGCCTAATATCTTCAAAGCAAACAATCTATTTGAATCTAATCCATTACAACGTGGAAAATCTGTAGAATCATCACAATGATTATTACTTCCACGTTTCACTCTGCAGGGAGTCTTCATTTCAAAACGTCAGGATTATGATTCTATGGATGTAAGGCACACAAGGGCTTCCTGTTACAACTACGGGGAAGATCAGAGGAAAGGGAAAGAGGAATATACATACATGTCCATCCAAGGCCCAGTTGTCAATTTTGAACTTGTTAACGAAGATCTCCACAGGGCCTCGAATCTGATACACCTGCAGCAACAACTGGGCTTCTTCTTTCTTATAGGTACCTGCAGAAATGGTGAGAAGTTTTGATGGTTGTCATGAGTGCTCACAAAAAAAAATAATTTTGTGTGTTGATTTCATATGGATTGACTCAATGTAACATTAATGAGACTAGTACAATTTACTTTACATTAATAGTAATAATTTTCATTACATATTAAATATATGGAGTACAGATGAAAAAATAAAAAGCACATAGGCTAGTTGGCAAAAGTCAGAGCCAGTCTGCAGATTTGAGTTGACAGATTTCATGGAAAATTGCATAGTGTACGATAGTCACAGACTGATTTTTTTTTTTTGCCTCAGACTATGATTCCATCCATTTGGAGGATATCAAACATGTTTGATGTTTAGAGCCGATTTTAGAAAAAAATATTGTTTTCATTTATTACGTGTCTCGTGGCAACAAGGCACATGTTTTTGTGTGAGTTTGTTGTATTCGGAATGCCTTGAAAGTCTAGTAGTGTGTGATGCTCAGTCATTTAGTGTATGATGTCCAGTTTTTTTTCTCTGTAACGATTTACAAAGTCAACAAGTGCATGATGTTTAGTGTTCAGATTTAAAAAGTTGTGGTGTATTTCAGGCTTTAGACATTCTGCAAAATATATCCTTTTATGCTCCATGGAATAAAAAAAATTATGTTTGGAGTACGTAACACATACAGATTTTTCATTTTTGGCTCAACTTTTTCTTTAAGACTACACAAAACACAGTGCTAGAGGCAGTACAAGCCAGAAAATTGGCATTACCTTGCTGCTGAAGTGTCACAAATGAGTGGTTGGTAAAATGTGTTGTGATGTTAAAAGAAAAAACACTCACCAGCCAGATTGAGCTGTACTCCACTGTGGTCCATGAGAGTGCCATTGACCCGATTGCTGAATGGTTCAAAAGCAGTTATGCTAAGCATTGCTGGCTGCTTCTTTCCTAGATATTCGTATGAACCCCTCCAAAGAGAGTTCTTAGCAAAAACCCCACTTGGCACTGAGATAGAGACACAAAAATGAACACAATGAGAGAAACAAAGACAAGAGCTACTGTATTATACATTCAAGTGACTAAAATATTTTAGGGGAATATTTAATTAACTTGCCTTGCATTAAAATATTACTTTAATTTATAGTAGACAGTGAAACTTACCGGGTTGCTTTGTGTTGGGCGGCTCTTGCACTGTTCCTACAGTTTTTCCGCTTGGTCTGTTATCAGCTATAGGACAAGTAAATATATATGGTGTCAGATGAAGAGGCAGAACACACATGACATTGACCTTTCAAAAGCAGTACTAACAAACATGATTACATGACTTGTGTAAATAAATTAAAACCAAAAACATTTGGACCATATGGGCAGAACATATAGACTTTCTATGATTTGGAATTTCACTTAATATATATGAATACCCTGTGAAGTCTACTTCGCAGGACATTATAAGATGATTGGACACACACAGTGGGGGAAAAACAGCTTTATTAGATGTCATACGACTATGTTGTCTCTCTCTCTGGTCTCCCACAGGTGCTGTTAATATCCTTCCACTGCAAAAGGCCAGAACCCTACTTTCAGCTTTATTATAAAATATTTCAGCAACTACTAGACTATGATGCATTTAGGGTTTAACTTGAGACTAATGCCATCCTCCTCCAGCAGAGTAAAAAGGAAATTGTTAATCTTATTTTTCTGCCCTATACGCTCACAGTCGGCATGGTAAATACTGTATGGGAACTGTTTATCTGATAATATTTTATAACAGTCTGTGCTTTTTCAAAACCAAATCAATGCATTCCACTGGGCTAATCAGAGCTCTACTAATATGAAATTTCAACAATAACATGATGAATTGGGCACAGCGATCACACCAGTTGTGGAGATGAAACAGGTGGACGTGGCCATTTATCAACATTTGTAGAGAAGAAAAATCCCAAAGTGGTTGAATACGGTAAATCATTAAGTCTGTAAATCAAGCAGATGGGCTACACCAAAACACATATGTGGTATGAACATGCTCAATGTCAATCGATCAATTTCTTTTACATTTGCATGAAAAAACAAGATTTTAATTTGGTATATTTTGGTTTGTTGGCTCACACACGTATTTATAAAGTATTTTGTACATACGTGCACACAACGGAGGTTTCCCTGTCCAGCTGCCATCAGCCCTGCAGGTACGGTGTTCAGACCCTCCAGCAAGGTAGAAACCAGGCTGACAGGTGTAGATGAGCGTATAACCCAGAGATGGCAGTTCTATAGCACCTACATCTGCCTGTGCAGGGAGCTCTGGCTGATTACAGTGATGAGCTGAGGAGAGAAAGCCGAGAGAGAGAATCTTACATTGTGGAGGGTGTATTGTGCAAAAACAAAAAAACAAAAACTCTAACTAACCATTCAAATTCAAATGAAATCAGGAAAGGATGCTCTACTTTATTCATCACTTCAAATTATTTTCAAATTAGTTTTAATAAATTATTTAAAATATATATTTTTTGTTTACCATCTGAAAACAAAAAAAGTGTAGTAACAGAAAAGTCGGTAACACTTTATTTTAGGGTCTCTTAACTAGTTGCTTATTAGCATGCATATTACTAGAATTTTAGCCATTTATTAGTACTAATTAAGCACAAATTAATGCCTTATTCTACATCCCTAATCCTACCTAATATCTACACTTAACAACTAACTTACTAACTCTTAATAAGCAGCAAATTAAAAATTTATTGAGGGAAAAGTTGTGGTTAATAGTGAATAAGTGTTCCCTATTCTAAAGTGTTACCGAAAAGTCGAACTAATATGTTTGCAAAATTGCGGCTAACCGATGCACTCAGGCTGCATGCCACTCCAGGTGAGGTTGGGCAAACATGTCCGAGAAATGGAGCCCAGAAGGAGGTGGCCCTTTCTGCAGCTGTAATACACTGAACTACCAATCTGTTGATACAAACACACAAATAGTCACAAATGACATGAAAAAATGTGTTTGAGATGAACTGATAACAGCCTTGGTTTGATGTGATTAGCACCTGGTAGCCTTGAGAGTTGTTCTGGTGGCCAAAGAGAGGAGTGCCAGGATCTACACAGCTGGTGTGACTGGGATCTGTGTTAAATAAATAAATAAATTAATTAATAACAATCAGAGCACCACAGGAATAAATTACATTTTAAAATATAATAAAACAGAAAACACTTATTTTAAATTAAAAAATATTTCACAATATTATTGTTTTTACTGTATTTATGATTAAATAAATATAGCCTTAAGCAGAAAGGTGGTTCTTAAAAAAAAAAAAACACACACACACTTCTGAATTGTAATGTGCAGGGTTGCCAGGTTTGCGAAACAAAACCAGTCAAAACCAACAATCACTTTTTTTTTCATTTTGCAATATAATAATGTGTCAGAACTATGTTTTATATATTTGCTCATATTCTAAGTGTGAAGGCAGCATGAATACATCAGCTGACCTATGCAAGATGGCTGGGTTCCACTCCAGGTTCCATCGTATTGGCAGTAACGGCGAGCAGAGCCAACCAGGATCAAAGGCGGGTAACATGAGAATGAAACAGAGGACAGGTATGTGAACCCTCGGTCTTCTCGCTTGCCCTGGGCTGGTATCCCTGGATCTCCACAAAATACAGCTGCAGAGAAAGAGAAACTCATTGAGGATGATAATTATTATACTATAAGGTATTGCCACCATCACACAAAACGTACAGCTAAAATTTAGAAACATCCAGTTAAAAATGTTATATGTGGATTTAAATGCTTATAAACACTTCTGGTAAACCTCAAATTGTAATTGGAGCCTTTAGAAAAATTCACACTTACGAAAACACTGCGGCCGTTCGCCACTCCAGTTTCCTGTGCCCTGGCAGGTGAGGATAGTGGGAAGGGAAAGCTGGTAACCCTGATTACAGCTATAACTAATGCTGGACCCCCATTGGAAGTCAGACCCCACAACCTGACCATTCGGGATGCTGGGAGGTGTGCCACACACAATGGCTGCAAGAAAACATAGACAATATGTCATGTTGAAAAATGAATAAAAAAATAAAAAATAAATGAATTAAATAAAATCACGCAAGATACCAATCATTTGGAAGTATACAGGAAGCTTCCATTCACAAGAGGTGGGCTCAAACCTTTGCAAACTGGCTTGGTGATGTTCCATGTGCGATCCTTGGTGCAGATGAGCATAGAGGCACGATCGGCATCCATAGTGAAACCTGGTGAACATTGGAAGCTCACAGTGTGGCTGTACGTGAAGTCAATACCCAGTCTGATACCATTAGCTGGCACTCCAGGATCTCCACAGTTAATGACTGGAAGTGGGCAGAGAGAGTAAAGCAAAGTCAAAGAAAAGCTGAAAGCCATTTGTGGTGCGATAAGAGGAAGTACATGGCTAAATGACAAGCGAGGACAAGTGTGCCAAAATACGGATGATTTGGAACCATTTTATAATTAGCCGTTTCATTGAAACAGATAACAAATTTAGGCAGAAACATTTTCATATTAAAAGGGTCATAAACTGGAAGCAACAAGATGTTTTATCACTCTTAGTGGTGCCTTTAAATTAATGAACTGTTTTAGGCATCAGCTTTGGGAGGCTCTTTCCTCTAGTCACTTCCTGTAGTCTGAGGCCACCGGCATCTGCTCTGTGCCAAAAACACCAATGTGTCTGGAGCTGTAACGTTTGCACGTGACCACCATTTGCTCAGAGCCTGAACAGTGAGCATTGTGTTTTTATGAGCATGGCAAGTCACTCGGGTGGCTGCCAAGAGGGGGAACAGGGATAGTCTATCTCTCCAACACAGGGCTGCTATGTAGACGTCCCTGATCTGCTTGCGTCCAGAGCTGGGATAATGGAGAACACTGTGCCTCATTATTAATTCCTGTCCCACAATGCATTGAAAAGCTTCACGCGAACAAAACCAATTCAACTCCAGCCTCTGGATTCCTCAAGAGCTTGGCCACTGAGAGCTGTACTATTCAGAGCAGTTTAGCGTAAGAGAATCTCGAGAATAAAACCGTCCCTTTCTAAAGCCACCGAAAGACCCTATGAAAAGACACTATGAGCATAGTCGACTTTATCCTGCATTCCATTTAACTCGGAAAGTGGGAATTTCCAACTTGCTATTTAGGAAATTGCAAAAGAAAGCCACTTAGAGCTAGACTTGGAACATGGAAACTTTCCAACTTAGAACTATGATTTGCTGAGATGGTGTGATCACGGTGTCACTTAGAGAGATGCACAAGGGCAGTGATAAACATTTACTTTTAAAGGGGTCATATGATGCGATTTCAAGTTTTCCTTTCTCTTTGGAGTGTTACAAGCTGATTATGCATAGATAAGCAATAATAAATCAAAGTACCTACATTTGCTAAAAAAAGTTGTAATACTAAAATACTTGCCAAGACAAATGTGTGCAAATGAGGTAAATGATCCTCTCTTTTCATAATCCTACAGAATAAATGCTTACTTTATCCTCTGCAATTTGTTTGCTAAGAGCTAGTCTTTGTTGACAGGTGAACAACTGCAAAACTAATGATAACATTTCAATTAGCCGAGTACCAAGCTAACAGCTTAGCACAGTGCTAACAAGCTTAAAAAAGCTATTTTGATTAGAATAAGATTTCCAGATAGCATGTTATCTTTTTAATCAACCATTAAAAAACAGGGATAGGATTAATCGTGAATTGCTACACACGAATGCTATTCAGAGGTACCCTAGTAAAAAGTTATATATTTAAAATACATTTCATACTAAGTATTGTTCAAATCTATTAACACATTTACTGACATATCACTTTAGACTTACTGACTTTATTTGAAGTACTACTTGTGCACAATGCACATTTCTTTATATTAAGCCTAAAATGTATTTTAATATCACTATTGATTAGGACGGTATGAACTTTGAGTAATATCAGTCTTTAAATGCAAGACATTTCAAGTACCTGAAGTACTGATACTTGCAATAGTTCCACTTTAGCACAATCGAATATACTTCATATTCAAATATACATCACATAAATATACTTTACAAATATTGTGCCCAAGATGAGTCATTTATAGTTTTGGTTTGTATTCCCCCGGAAAAGGTCTATACATTTAAAATGTTTATATTTGCTACTTTTGTCAAATTAGTTTAACTAGCATATACTGTTGATGGACTTAAAGCCACAAATCTTTGATTTTGATTTCATGGGGGCTTCAAGTGTTACCTAAACCTGTAAAGAGCTAAGGTTTGGTCACAATACCGGAATTTCAGTGGAAGTTTGCATGCAAAAAAGGCAAATCCTCGTGACCTTGTGGGGAAATCTTTCGCCTTTGCGCTTAATTCCCAATCACATGCATTCCTACTGAAATTACTAAATTTCGTGAAGAATTCCCAAACAACGGTAAATGTGACCGCACCTTTCATGATGCTAGCTTTAAAAAAATGGATGTTTAATCTATTCAAACTCCTGCTGAGGTGTTGATGGGGCACCTGTGCATTCCGGCATGTCCCCGGTCCAGGTGCCATTGACAGTACAATGACGAGTGAGCAAGCCGGTGGAGTAGTAGCCTTCTCTGCAGGAGTACATTACAGAGCGGGAAAACACAAGTCCATCATGGAACTGGATCATGGCGTTGCGGGGAGTTCCAGGGTTGCCACAGGAGACCACTGTGAAAGATAACAAGAGAACGTCAGATGGGATGCAAGGTGCCAAATATACATGGTCAGCATAGAACATGAATCCCAGGTGCAAGGGAGGATGGCACACTACTAGGCATCTACACGATTCATAGGACATGCCCCTCCTCCGACCTGGACAGTTATTTGTTAATTTAGCTTTTAATTAATAAACACATTTACTGCAGGAGATTTCATACATTAGACAATCCTCTTCCCCAGGACAGGGCAGATGGAGCTTATTCATGGGTGGGTGCCAATAAAGAGCAGGTGGGCACACACTCACAACCAGGGACGCCACCAATATGGGCTAGAGGTTTGAGCACTGGAGACTTGCCAACATGAAAACAGAGAACTTGAGTGGCGAATACTGAGCTTGACAAACCTGTTATCATCTGTTATTACATACGCTAGTGTCCTTTGGCTCAGGTTTTGCATCAGGATACACATTTTACATTGGAAATCAAGTGTGTCCCAACACAGTACCAAATATGATTATCAGACAAACCCAAATTTGAATGGTATCATGTTTGGGCGGCAATAATTCACCACACACTGTTGTCGGCATAATGTGGGGATTATTTTTCTAGCAAGAGGAGGATGGATTTGTGCCAAAATACTGAGTTTCACTGGATAGAGAACCTTTGATGTAAATTTGAGAAAAACAATTATAATCTTTTACTTATGTTATTTTAATTAACATTTTAAAAGTGAATGAGCCCACTTTATTTTTGTTTCGTGTGAAATTTGCATAGAAAAAAATAAGTATACAGTATGATTAGTAGTTTATTAGGTCACACTTTATTTTAAAGTGTCCAATTCTCACTATTAACAAACACAACTTTTGCCTCAATAAACTCCTAATTTGATGATAATTAATATTTAGTAAGGTAGTTGTTAGGTTTAGGTAGGATTAGGGATGTAGAATATGGCCATGCAGAATATGTGTTTTATAAGTACTAATACACAGCCAATATGTTAATAATAGGCATGCTAATAAGCAACTAGTTAATAGTGAGAGTTGGTCCCTATACTTTTTGTGTCACATTTCACCAGTTGACAACCACTATTTTATAGTATATTACATTATTATAAAGCACACAATTCTGCAAAGAACGGTCTATTTCTTCATATAAGTACATGCTAGGACAACAAACATTTGTGATGAGGACATAAACGAAAAAAGTCACCTTGATTTCCCCTTGCACTTTAAGACGATGAGCTTTTTCGTGTATTCAGGATGTAAAAAAAAAAAGAGGGGTTTTAGGTTGCTATTGATTTGCTCTCTGGAAATGTCTGCATTTTCTGAGAATCCACCTTTTTTAAGTCACCACAGTTTGTTGAACTGGCATGGATAACAATAGCCCAAGGGTCAAATCAATAAGAGAAACACAAACTTAGGCAGATACACAAGCGCACACATTTCAAACTCACAACCCCCAAGCATTTGGGAGGCAGGAAAGGATTGAGTTGACAGTGTACTTTGTACGAGATGCAAAACTAAAAATATCTGGAATGTTTTAGGGGTGACTGTTAACAAGATGTGAGATAAAACAAATGGCTGGTGTTAAAAAAGCAGGGTAAGAAAAATGGCAGGCATCTCCACACGGGTAATTAACCTGGGTTTTCTGCTTCTCTGACATGCCTTTCTTTGGGTTGTCAGCCTGACTCTGCAGGCACTTCACACAAACCAACACGAGCAGAATAATAATGCTGTTTAAGAGAGAAGGAGAGAGTGCAAACACAGCAGCCCAGTGTCCAGGGGACCAGCAGGGCTGGCACAGTCGTTTCAGTATGTTGAGAGAAAGAAAACACGGTACGAGTGGAAGTGTAACATGTGTACACCCCAGGTGTACGGAGCCACTTTAAAGCTACAGCAGAGAACAGACGGGAACCAATCAAGATGAAAATAACTTCTCGCCAACCACTTTCTACCTCAGTCTGTCAGTTTGTCTCCATCTCGCTCTTTTGTTTTGCACAAGTTTAGACATTTGTGTGCAGAATTAAACTGCTATGAAATAACTCGCTGAGAAATTTGCATAGGCTACAATTTTGGGGTGTAGCAGAATCTTCTAGAGGCAGAAGCGATTAATCATCCGAGTTCAGCCGCATTCTTCTGCAGACCACCCAGGTTTCATTTTTCTTACCGTGGCATTCAGGCTGGATGCCCACCCAGCTCCCGTTAGCCAGGCAGGTTCGTTCAGAGGAGCCCTTCAGAACGTAGCCAGACTCGCAGCTGAATCGTACGATGCTCCCTACGGTGAACTCCTCTCCCAGACGGATCCCGTGCACTGGAACGCCAGGGTCTCCACACAAACCAGCAGAATCCCCTGAAACAACACGCATACATATGAGCACTTGGACACTTATTCTTATGGCAGTGTTAACAAAAGATATATATTTAAATCAGGCCCATAATATCAATTTTCACTTTCTTCATTTTGGTTTGGCATTTAAAATGACATGATATACAAACCCGATTCCAAAAAAGTTGGGACACTGTACAAATTGTGAATAAAAACAGAATGCAATGATGTGGAAGTTTCAAATTTCAATATTTTATTCAGAATACAACATAGATGACATATCAAATGTTTAAACTGAGAAAATGTATCATTTTAAGGGAAAAATAAGTTGATTTTAAATTTCATGGCATCAACACATCTCAAAAAAGTTGGGACAAGGCCATGTTTACCACTGTGTGGCATCCCCTCTTCTTTTTATAACAGTCTGCAAACGTCTGGGGACTGAGGAGACAAGTTGCTCAAGTTTAAGAATAGGAATGTTGTCCCATTCTTGTCTAATACAAGCTTCTAGTTGCTCAACTGTCTTAGGTCTTCTGATAAGGTGGTGATTTTAGTCACAGCTTGTTTATCCAACGGACACATGCGGTGTGGAGAAACTCAATAAAACTAAATCACTCCCATTAAAATCAATGGAGTTGTCTATACACCTCAAGTACAATGAGTTTCAAACCCTTGGTGTAGTGTCTATGTACAATTAAGATACCCTCAAACCAGTCCAATTTAGATCCTTTGGCAGCGAGTGATGGGAAAACTACTATCTAGATGCCCCGCAGGACTTTCAAACTTGCGCTCTATTACATTAGGTTTTTATTTAAAGAGGTTAACTGAGATTTACACAAGATGATGAGTAATTTCATTCATATTTATTGAACAACTCTCTGCGGTAGACCTGGCAAAGGAGATGAAAAGAGGCATCACAGCGGCTTGGTTTTGGTGATAATTTACTTTGGATAAGAAATCACCAGGGACAGAAAATTTCCCTTAATTTCCCCGCTCAAAATGCCGACCCGTGCGCTCCATGGTGTTCTTCAGCAAATCCTCTTATTTTGATCCACTGATGCATTTACAAATGATCTTTCTATTCCCTATATATCCTCTGGTAATGCTCAACAAACAATCACTAATTTGAAATGAACAGTGAGTCTTTTGGTGAAGGGCGAAGTAAATATTAAAGAATTACTACTATTTATATACAGCATATCGTCTTCAGAAACTCACACTGACAGGCCAGTTATTAACCACAAGATGTCTTGCAAAAAAAGCCTAATGCACTTTTTGACAGCTGACAGAAAGAAACAGCAATCTTTTGAGAAATATGAATGCTATGAATTGTGACATTAACCTGTCAGTGGTTTTACAGCCAGGGATGAAGCTCTTCTGGCATATCTGAGGGCTGCAATGGACTGATGTGTTTATAGTGGAGCAGGGCAGCTCATTACCTGGCAGGCATGTGGGAGTCTGTGTCGCCAAGCCCAATATGAGAAGATTAAACCAGTTTATGAGGGGACACACTCTTTGCCCTTCTGGATGCTGCCTATATGGCAATATTGTATTACCACCCACTGATCTGGAATGTAATCCTGAAGCCATTGATTCATCATCTCACACGCTTACGAGACCTCAGAGACTGTGCCATCTCAAATGTGAAAAATGGAGCCCATGCCCCACTATATATGCACATTATATGGACAATATTATTGGGACACACCTCTTAATTATAAAATTCAGGATTCAAGTGTTTCAACCAGACCCATTGCCACAGGTGTATAAAAATCAAGCACCTGGCCATGCAGTCTGCATTTTTTTAATGAAAAAAATAAAGGATGTTCTGAAGAGCTCAGTGAATTCAAAGTGTGGTACTGTGACTGGATGCCACCTTTGCAATAAGTCAGCTTATGAAGTTTCAAGCCTGCAGTATATTCCACGGTCAACTAACTGTAAGTAGTATTATTATATAGAAATTGGAAGTGTTTATGAACAGCAGCAACTGAGCGACGAAGTGAAGTCCACGTGAAGTCACAGAGCGGGTCATGCATGTTGCGTAAAAATCATCAATGCTCTGGTGATTCCAAGAGACCAAACCTCCACTGGCATTAATATCTGCACAAACACTGTGCTTCACTGAATGGGTTTCAATAGATGGTGTAGTGTAAAGCACACCAACACTGGACTCTGGAGCAGTGGAAACCTGTTTTGTGGAGTGACGAATCACGCTTCTCTGTTAGGCTCCTTAATTCCAGTGAAGGCAAATCTTAATGCATCAGCATACCAGGAAATGTTGGACAATACTTTGCTTCCAATGTTGTGGAAACAGTTTGGGGAAGGCCCTTTTCCATTCCAGCATGACTGTGCCCCAGTGCACAACACTGGACTCTGGAGCAGTGGAAACCTGTTTTGTCGAGTGACGAATCACACTTCTCTGTTAGGCTCCTTAATTCCAGTGAAGGCAAATCTTAATGCATCAGCATACCAGGAAATGTTGGACAATACTTTGCTTCCAATGTTGTGGAAACAGTTTGGGGAAGGCCCTTTTCCATTCCAGCATGACTGTGCCCCAGTGCACAACACTGGACTCTGGAGCAGTGGAAACCTGTTTTGTCGAGTGACGAATCACACTTCTCTGTTAGGCTCCTTAATTCCAGTGAAGGCAAATCTTAATGCATCAGCATACCAGGAAATGTTGGACAATACTTTGCTTTCAACGTTGTGGAAACAGTTTGGGGAAGGCCCTTTTCCATTCTAGCATGACTGTGTCCCAGAGCACAACGCAAGGTTCATGAAGACATGGTTGGATGAGTTTGGTGTGGAAGAACTTGACTGGCCCGCACAGAGCCTTGACCTTAAGCCCATCAAACACTTTTGCGATGAACTGAAATGGAGACCGCGAGCCAGGATGTTCTCGTCTAACATCAGCTCCTGACCTCACAAATGCTCTTCTGGATGAATTGGCAAAAAATCCCACAGAAACACTCCAAAATCTCGTAGAGAGCCACCTATATGAATAGAAGCTGTTATTGCTGCAAAGGGAGGACCAACTCCATATAAATGTCTACGTATTTAGAGTGTGATGTTATTATTAAAGTCCATGTTTGTTTAATGGTCAGGTGTGCCAATAGGGAATAATAAAAAAATAAGTGGGACCAATTCTCACTATTAACTAAATGCTTATTAACACTCCTATTGACAACATATTGGCTGTGTATTAGTACTTATAAAGCACATATTCTGCATGACCATACTCTACATCCCTAATCCTACCCAATACCTAAACTTAACAACTACCTGACTAACTATTAATAAGCAGCAAATTAGGAGTTTATTGAGGCAAAAGTCATAGTTAATGGTTTGTTAATAGCTTTAAATTAAATAAACAAATAAAATAAAAGATATATTAAATGTATATTTATTGTTATTATTATTATTATTATTATAAAGTTTGCAAAAATATTCCCCTCTTTTCTCATAAGTTTACATTCCCTTGTGAGAGAATCTGTCAGTCTCTTTCATATCTACAAAAATAAAACATAGGAGGGTTAATTAAATATAAGAAAAATAAAATAAAAATAAGATCAAAAAGCTGTTTTATTAGTACTTTGATTTAGTACTGCACTGAAGACATGGCATATTTACATGTACTCCACAAGACAACATATTTAACTCAATTTACACAAATGATCTTGTTCATATTGCTGCCTGCTTGAATATCAGTAACCTTTGTGATAACTGTGTATAAGTCCTTGCTTTGACCTGAGTTGCAAAGCTGGATCTCAACATCATACAGTCATTGTGAGGAAGAACACAAATGTGCAGAGCCTGCTGGGAAACCAAAGAACCTGCAGTACCTGAAGGTTTTTTGGGAGCTTCACTGCTCAAGACAAAATAGGGACTCAATGACAAGGAATGTTTTGAAATGAAAGTAGGTAGTCTAGTGTGTGTAAATATAACAAATTACAATGAGATATATTTCTAAAATATTTTTATATACAAATAAATTACTAAATAAAAATAACAATAAAGACAGACAGATAAGCATGTTGAGTAGGGAAAAGATTTGAAGTACCAGAGCAATGTGGCAGGGAGCCGCTCCACTGGCCATCCAGCTGGCACATACGGGTGGTATTGCCCACAATGCTGCGCTGGCCGATGCAGCTGAAGCGGATAACGGAGCCCACTGTGCGCCTGTCCCCCGAGATCTGTGCATACGGAGGCATGCTGGGACGATCACACAGAACCACTGCGGCAGAGAGGGGAAAAAAAGGGCAAACCTTATCTACAGTGCACAATGTCAGATCACATGTATAAACAATGCAGAGTAAAGCAGGTTGTGAAATGATTTGAGTAAAGGTTTATCAGGCTAAGATGACTTACAGAGGCACTTGGGTAGGGAACGGTCCCATGTGCCGTCACCCTGACAGCTCAGAGTGCTGGTGCCCAGCAGGTAGTATCCAGGGTTACAGCTGTAAGAAACTGTGGTCTGGAAACTGTAACGATGAGGCCCGCTGGGCAGGACCTGTCTGACACCATTTTCAACATGTCCCGGGTCAGTGCAGTTCACAACTGAGACGCAGATAGAGTGGGCGAGAGAAAGCGAGAAAGAAAGAAGGTTATGAAGAATACTCTTGAGAAATACACTGCAATTCAAAAGTTTGGGGTACGTTTTTTTTGTTCTCTGCAAGAACACATTCATTAGATCAAAAATGAAAGCAAAGATATTTCTAATATTTTTATTTCTAATAAATGCTGTTTTTTAACTTTCAACAATCTTGAAATATCACGGAGTCCACAAAAAAATTAAGCACACAACTGTTTTCAACATTGATAATAATAATAAATGTTTCTTAAGCACCACATCAGCATATTAGAATGATTCCTGAAGCATCATGTGACACTGAAGACTGGAGTAATGATGCTGAAAATTCAGCTTTGCCATCACAGGAATAAATTACATTTTAAAATATATTAAAATAGAAAACAGTTATTGCAAACTGTAATAATATTTCATATTATTTTACTTGGTGAGCATACAAGACTTCTTTCAAAAACATTAAAAAAATTTACTGACAACAATTATTAAACAGTAGTTTATGGCATAATGTGCCTTAATTATTTAAAGAGCAGGTCATATGGGTTTTTGAAAAATATCTCTTTAGCAGTTTATAACGTAGCTATCCTTAAATGAAAACAATCTGTAAAGTTGTTAATCAAAAAAGTGCATGATAAATAAAGATACTGTCTCTCAAAAGGGAGAGTCGATTCTGAATCACCTTAAAAGGTCGTCATATTTTCAAATCTTTTGCCCGTTACCGGTATACGTCACTGGGTAACACATTTGCATAATCCCCGCCTGCCCGGAATACGAACAGAGTCTGACCTGCCGAGTGCCCACAAACACTTCCGCTAGTTAGTGTGTTTACATCATGTTGGGAAGACGCTGTGTTCAAGGATGCCACAGAAGAACAATTTGAACCTTTTGTTGTGTGCATGTCATTTTACCAAAGACTGCTTCTCTAATCTTGGCTTTTATCTTTGTTGGCTTCTAATCTTCCTAATTTGGACTAACAAGCTCTCCGTACCACAACCTGTAAGTACGATTGATACGTTATGAGTACATTTTCAATTGAGTGCTCAAAATATAAATTTTTTGAGTGCTAATATGTGATGTATACCTAGTGCAGCTTTACGTTTCCAGGTAAAGCACAATATTACTTACTGAAGTAGTCTTACTGAAGTAGTTCTGATAATTCGCTGTGAACCCACTATTTCCTAAGAATGTGTCGATTAATGTAGACTGATGTTGTTCTAATTACATTGTTTAATAATAAAGACTGTGTAGCACACAGACTTTATTATTGTGAAATTTCTGTTTATTTTGCTGCACCGGCAGTTATAGGGTTAATGTGGGAGAGACGAGTGAGTTAGTTAGGCTGGTGCGCCTGTGATACAGCTGTTCTGCGTTCTGATTAAAAGCTAAGACAGAGTGTCTTTTGTCTGTCATTCTTCAAACATTACAGTAGACATATTTTGGTTTACAAACCGTATTGTTTCATCAGTTAGTCACATTAGCACTCGGCTAACGTATCCACCATGTTTTAAGTGTTCACAGTTTAGCAGCTAAACTTTAGCTGTGGGCACGATTCGCTTGCATAAGTGTTTTTATATTTTATGTCATTATTATAAGAACGGATTGGAGCACTATATTATTGTTTTATGTAGAGGTGCTTTGTCAATGGTAGCGCTCGCTAACTAACTTGCTCAAGGACTCCTCTCTGTGCCAATCCCAACAGGCTTGGCCAGCTGACCAATGGAAGGGAGGGGTTTGCTCCAAACTTGCTTGGAACGAATCGTTTGCTAATATTAAATGTATATTCTGAAAAAATTACAATGTTTTCTGGCCTTAGATGCATTTAAACCTGTTGTAGGGGACTCCAACACAATATTAGGACACTTTAAAATACCATATGACCGGCTCTTTAAGTCAGAAGAGTTTTTTGGTATAATTAATTTCAATTTCATTTAAAAGATACCTTTATGTACATTTCTATCTTGGTGGCAGTAATTCATCAAATTATTACAGCATGATCACATTTTTTTTTTTTTATAAACAGGCATCTATCCAGATACACAGCAATATATCCTCTGTTCAGTCCCAGTAAAATCTGCTTCCTCCTCCACAACAAGCCAAACTAAACGATGGGCAACTGTGGCATGCAAATCACATTCACAATCACATTTTTGGCCTTGTTTATGCCATTAATTGATTTGTGCAATTTCGTTAGCGAATTGTGTGAAATAAAAGATGTTGCCAGTGGGCACAGTTTATTTTTCCTGATATCCAACCAAACACTTTTACCCACACAAAATGACAGAAAAAGACGATTTACAAAGAAGAGTAAAGGCTTCTAAAAAAAAAAAAAAACTTCTGTAAATATTTGAAACCACAAACACAAACAGTTGCTTCATTAACGGCTGGCTGAGGACATGAACTGGGCTTAGAGAGAGGAGAGATGGAGATATAGCGCTGGTGTGTTAGCTATGAACAAAAACATGCAGAGAACGAGAGCACAGAAGGACAAAAGTGCATGATGAAGAACCTAAAACAGAAATCAGCAGTAATTTGTTTTCATTCACGCACTGAAAGGAAACAAAATATACATTAAAGTGCAAGTGCAATTGAGCAGGCCAAGACAATAAGATGGGCCATCATGTTAAACTATGTTTTGTTCTTCGAGTACTTCAACTGATTCTAACAAATACAGCTGAACACACTTCTGGCAACATTTTACGTGCAATTACGGAGAAACAGTGAAGCCAAATGAAGAGGACAGGCTTCCTTATTTGACTCCAGAGTGTTCCTTCTGCTGTTTCAGGCCAGCAACGTTTCCTTAAAATCTCTCCGTTAGGGACAACTTGTCAACGGAATTAGACTTTCCAGGGTAGTAATGCATGCTAATGCCTTTAACAGCTCTTAGCAGAGCCAGCCAAAGCCATTTTCTATGATGCAACCATTTATAACTTAAATATACTAGCTTGATTTTCAACTAAAATGTTAATGGTTAAGTTAGAAATAAATACACAAATAAAATCAATAGAAAGAAAGAAAAGCAGAAAAAGAAAAAAAACCCACAGGAAAACATGTTTATTTGTGCTTGGTCGTAATACGATATTAAAATTGATTCTCCTGCTGGCCAGTGGCCATTTTTGAGGAGAGGTGGTTCAATTATCTGCAGATATGAGTCTAACCAACTTATCTGTGTGGTTCGGAAGGCCATTTTGGAGATAGAAGTGGCTCACTCAGACACAAATTGGTGCTGATTAGCAGGACTGTGCAGAGGCCTACTAAATTATTGATGCAGCTCCGAGCTCATAGCATTTTTTACCGGCTCCTTTTGTGCCATTAAACGGCCGTCTTCCCACGCTCAGTGCTAATGACGGACCATGATGGAGAGGAGACCGTGACTGATATGATCAGACCACTTCAACTTCCTCAGTCAGAGTAAACACACATTTATAATCTAAAGAGGGGATGGATGATGTAACTTCAAAGATTCAAATTAAGGTAATTCAGATCAATCAGAGTGATGCCATGCATTCATAACTTGTGTAATTATTTCACTGTTTCCAGAAAATATTGAGCACACAACTGTTTTCAACACTGATGATAAGAAATGTTTCGTGCGCACCAAGTCAGCATATTAGAATGATTTCTGAAGGATCGTGTGACACTGATTACTGAAGTAATGGCTGCTGAAAAAAACAGTAAACAGTAGTGCACTTTATGGCACATATGGCTTATTTATGGCAACTCCTAATGAAACATGTTGAATTACACACAAAGATTTGCATAGATTGTCATTGGCTGGATCTGTGCTAGTCATCCGAAACCCCAACTAAAGCACTTTTTGAGTAAGTAAAACTATTGTTTGGTTAATTTTCACAGAAAAATTCAGTCATGTTAATAGGAATCCATATGACTGGGAATTTTGCAAGAGTGAACGATTGAGCGAACAATGTTTCACAACAGGTTCAAGGTGCTCATGCAAATATTACACATTGACCAACAGAAAGCTGCTTCTACGGTCTTTATACTTTTTTTTTTAATGAAACGCATTACTTTCATTGTTTAAATCCTTTAAATGCTGTTATTTCTCAGTTAAGAACCATTAGAACACATACTCTTGTTCTACACCATGCTGAGTTATAGAGCAAATTTGAATAGAGCAGTCAAGTTATTTTAACATAACAGCACTATTCACATTTCCTTGTCAAGTAACACATATACAGTCCACACTACGGACCACTGCTGATGATGAAGCCACAGGACTTACTTTTACACTTGGGCAGAGCATTGCTCCACTGGCCGTTGGGCTGACAGTGAGACTTGATTGCACCCTGCAGAACATAACCAGGGTTGCAGGCAAAACGCACTATGTCGTTCAGGTTAAACTGCGTTCCCTGAGTCACACCATTAGCAGGGGTGCCTGGATGTCCACAAGTGATGGCTACAGAACATCAGAACGACATATTAATATCAATTTACATGATTATTTTATTTCTCAGAGGCATGCAACTGTCAAAAGACGTCATATCAGATTGCTTAAGCAACACTTACGGACACAGATGGGAGTCTTTCCAGACCAGCGGTGGTCCTGCTCACAGATGCGAACAGACACGCCGATGAGTCGAAATCCAGGATTACACTGGTAAACGACACTGCCTCTGTAGTTGTAATTCTCTCCGATGATCTGGCCATTCACAATAGGCTCTGGTGTGCCACAGTGTCCAGCTATTGAAGAAAAATATCGTAAATGCTCATTTGGAAAACTTAAGGGTACATTTTCTCAAATGAATGATGGAATCCCATAACGGAAGTAAAGAGACTCACCAAGACATTGGACCTCAGCTCCACTCCACAGGCCATTGGACATGCACTCTCTCACTCTGGAGCCCACCAGAGTATAACCCGTGTTACAGGAAAAAATGGCAGTCGCTCCGTACACGGTTAATGTTCCTATTTTATTGCCATTCGGAGGGGTTCCAAAGTCACCACAGGAAATGACTAGGTAAAATCAGATGAAAAATGTATTAGTATTCTTTTTTTTTTTTTTTTTTTTTTTTTAACTATGAACAGAATTTAATTTTAAAGTCATGAAATTGACTTTTCCCCCTCAACATTTATTTGGTATGTAAATTGACTTTTGTAAATTATATCATGACATACTAGATCAGGGGTTTTCAATAAAAGTTTGAAAATCCATCCATCCATTCTCCAAACCACTAATCCTCTGTTAGGTCGCAGGTTTCCAAAAAAATCCTAATTTGAAAATACTGTGGTCTCAAAGCATATGCTTTAATGTCACTACAGCCCATATTGCACTCACTTTCACAGGACGGTCTCGGCTCAGGGTAATCCCAGGTGCCGTTAGCTTGGCAGCGGATGACCCTTTGACCCTTGTAGAAATATCCAGGGTCACAGGTCAACATCATCATGGCCTCATATTTATTCTGCATGCCATAAATAAGCCTCCACCTCCCATGATCCACTGCAGAGTGGCCGATGTCAGGGCAGGTCACAGCTGGAGGGTCAAAGTTAGTAATACAAATTTGCTATTTGATTAAGACCTACAGCAACATATTACTTCTGTCTGTCTGTCTGTCTATCCATCCATCCATCCATCCATCCATCCATCTATTCTTTTGCAAAATTGTTCCATTAATTTCCATGTTTAAACAAAATTTTGATTTCAAGGTTAAATGTTGCCTAAGACTTTTAAAGTTAAAGAAAAAAGTTCAAGATAATACACATTTTATCTTTTCTTTCTTTTATCAAACTTTTATGTAAATAAGGACAGTGATTGTGGTGCTCATGAACTCACGGACGCAACGAGGGCGGGTCTCCATCGGGCTCCACCTCCCAGACTCTTGACAAAGCGTTGACACCGGCTGAGCATTGGCCAATCGGAAACCAGGATTACAAGAAAACGAGACTCTAGAGCTGAGAGTGAAGTCCTGCCCAATGACAGTGCCATTCACTGGCGCAATAGGCATCCCACAGGAAACAACTGTGAAGGAGAGAAAGATTCTGACCTCAAAAACTAACTCAAGTATTTTCTCACAAAACCCCAAGGAAAGTGGGTATTTCTTTTCGCCATCACATTTCAAAGAATACTCAGTGTAAACACACTCAGTGAACACACTAAAAGCAGCAATGCGACTGTGCAAACACAAGCTTGCAGCGGTTCTGGGAAGGTAAACAAGAGCAGCTAGAAAGCAACGAGCACAAGCCAAGATGTAGATTACACCTGGACATGGACTAAGGACACAGTGAGAACGCCAACATCCTGTACAGCCACCAGAGAGTCAGAGGGTACTGAACATGAACACAGTATAAACACAACAATCTCTCTGGCCACTTCAGCCATACGTAAATATAGAAATGTCTACGTCATACATAGTAAAATATAAATCAACATTTATTATTAAAAAAGCAAATAGTGTTGAAACAGAAACCAAAAATCTAAATAAACAAACAAACAAAAATAGTAGCATCGTTTGCTTGCAGATGAACACTTGGTTTGGTGTTTTATCGTTGAATGCAACATTAAACATTTATTTAAAAAAGCAAACACAAAAATGAAAGCAAATATAAAAAACTAAAATAAATATATGTAGCGTCTGGACCATTCAAACACACAATATATATTTTGTTAGCTAGATTTAACAAATACTCTGTAATACCGCAGGAAGCCGAACAGGCCCCTGGTTCCATAGCAACACTGACACCAGATACGTTTATGACCTCATGGAATGTGACCAGGGAAAATGTCCCATAAGCAAGAGGCAAATGCAGAGTAGAAATTGACTTTTCTACTAATTAATTAATAGGAAAACCTTTCTTTGAATGAACAGTGTATCCTTCAGGTCATGGTGTATGTTGTCTTTGATATTTTTAGACTATTTTAGGCATGCTTATGAGGGAACCCATTCCTGTCATCCTTTCACTATATGTAATCCTACCTTGTTTAGTATCTATGAATTCGCCTTCTTATGATCGAAACAAGCGTGTATATTATATGTTGGTACATAGGCAATATATATTAGGGTCCTGAGAATCTTTAGTAATTTCGATTCAAGTCCATTTGCAAATTACCATGCTTAGAGACAAAGGGTCGTAAAACCCTCCAGCAATTGCCACCTCCCGCTCGGAATTTCCATCTTTCTCATTGGACAAGCCCATCTTGAGAGGCGGGGATCTTCTCCGACCTTAAAGGCCCCGCTCCAGGGACCCACCCAGTCGGTGGTT